AGCTCAGGGTGGACATTGATGGCCCCGATAACGAGGCCCATCTTAACAGACTAGAACACGGAAGCGCACGGAGGCTAAGAATCTGGGCCATGCAGGTCCTAAGGAGGGAGTTTGGGGTTTTCGTCTAGAGGCCTCCAGACCCCCAAATCCAAGCCTCCCCCATAACACACTGTCCCACAGAAACACACTTCTGCTCCCCATCCGTGATGGATGGAATGGGCCGATCAGACGGTAGAGGCATGCTGGGACCTGGCTGGGTTCAAGCAGAGGCTGCACCAGCAGCTCTGAAGTGAGCTCACGCCTGTGATGGGCATTTGGATGGCATGGCCTTGCTGGCATTTCCCGTGCGTGGGGCCTAAGACTTTGGAACCGCTCCACCTGGCAAGTGTGAGAGGCTAGGACTGACTGCAGGGCAGCTGCCGAAGGCACTCGGAGCCCTCTGTGGCCTTGTCCTCCAGTGCCTGCACCTATGACTGGTCCTGTCCCTCCCCCAGGGGCTCAGTGCAGGACAAGCACCTGCTGGTGTACATGTGTGTGTCTGTGCATGTGTATGCACTGTGTGCATGTGTGTGCCTGCTTGTGCATGTGTGTGCACATGTGTGTATGCATGTGTGTGCATGCACCCTCAGAGACCCCCTGGCCACACACGGGATGACCCCCTGGTTCACGTCCAGAGTATCCGCATTGGGACTATTCCTGCCCAGCCCCAGCGCAGGCCATGTACCACAGAAGAACTCACGTCTAGCAGCAAAGCAAAGCTCAGGCCACATCACCAGCTTGCTCAGAATTCACAGGACGGTTTGATTTCCTCATCAAGTTCCTTAGCCCTGGGGACACTGTCTTCAAGTGGGGCTTTTCGCTCCACAAAGCCCGCCTCTGTGTGAGCCACCTGAATCATTTCGGTTCTCAGGCATCATGCTCAGAAGAGACTCGAAGAGATGTTTTCCCAAACCCACTTCCTAACGGGGCTGCCCCTGTAGGACCGCCCAGGCTGCCCCTTAGTCTTCAGGTGCATGCCTGTGTGCTGGGACGTGTGTACATGTGAGCATGCATATGGTGAAAACTGTCCCTACACACGTGGTGTGTGCCTGCGTGGATGTGTATGTATACGCACGCACATGTGAACACACTCGCATGTCCCAGAATGTCAGGTGGCAGGGGCTGACTCCTACGGACTAAACTTCTGGGTGAAGCGGAGGTGGGTTCTGTGCCAATAGGGCAGGCACAGGCCTCATGGCTGGCCCCTCTCCTGGGTGAGCCAGATGCCTGTGACGTGCGGGGTGATGAAGCGGAAGGGGTCTGCATTCAAACAGGCGAAGCAGGGTTCAGGCAATTCAGTCCTTCCTGTTAGAGGGCAAGGCCTGACCCACACACGACATCCCCAAGCCAGCCATGTGGCACCAGGCACTTCACCTGCATCTCTCAAGAAAACAGCAGAACGTCAGGCAAAATTCCTCGTGCTCTGAATTCAGGATGTATTTTAAAAATGAATGGCATCTGGATGCAGGACTTTGAGCCAGGCCTTCCCAGACTCTCAGGATCTGGGCTAAGCACCAGCATGGACCTGTCACCCTCACTGAAGCCGTCGGGGTGGGAGGGAGGCAGCCCCGGAGTGGACAGCATGCCGCTGATGTCGCCAGGGCCGTCCCCAGGAGCATGCGGACACCCAGACTCTTCAGCTGAGCTCGTTCTTATAAGACACGAAATGAGAACCTGGAATCTCCCTGGGCATGGTGGCGCATGCCTATAGTCCCAGCTACTCGGGAGGCTGAGGTGGGAGGATCGCTTGAGCCCAGGAGTTCTGGGCTGTAGTGTGCTATGCCGATCGGGTGTCCGCTCTAAGTTCGGCATCAATATGGTGACCTCCTGGGAGCGGGGGACCACCAGGTTGCCTAAGGAGGGGTGAACGGGCCCAGGTTGGAAACAGAGCAGGTCAAAATCCCGTGGTGATCAGTAGTGGGATCGTGCCTGTGAACAGCCACTGCATGCCAGCCTGGGCAACATAGCGAGACCCCATCTCAA